CAGCGAAGACACAGGGTACACATTCTTGGGTCTCAGACCCAAACACCAATTAAGAGGAACATGGCAGCCATTGTTAGGGTAAGTAGAGGGGAACAAATTCCTGATCTAGTTGTCTTCTAACACTCCCCCCTTCCCATCCTGAAGGACACCTGCCTTCCTGTATCCATCCTAAGGTGGACCCACTCTGTTGGATGCTGCCTTCACTGGGAATGAGCCATCCTTTAGTGTAATCTTTTCTTATAGTTAGTATTTCACATGTTATGTAAAAATTATTTACCACATAAATGTATTCGTTATCTTCCTATTAGCACACATGTACACACAGACACACACATAGATACATACACACACATACACACACACACAGAGACAGACACACAGACAGACAGACACTCAAGAGCACACACAACACACACACACACACACACACACACACACACGCACATACAGATCCCTTCTTTCTTAAGGCTGCCCTGACTCTAGCAAAAGACCACGTTCTCTCTGCGTCAGTGGTCCTCAAATTCTGTGGCAGGTGGATGCGGCAATTCTGTTTTCCAGGGTGATCACACTTATCTCTCTTCAGGTCCGTACCACACCCAAGATACAGGTGGTATAGATAGTTCCAGGAGGCTCCAGGTACTTGACAGAAATTCCCTGGAAACACTGATATCCAGCCATAGACACAGGATAGTTGAGTTGGTTACTATCTCTGTGGGACAGGGATAGTTTACACTCAACTCAGAGAGATAATGTCATCGGAGATGAGTCTCAGTCTGTATTAGCCTTTGTCTCTTCCACCCCCTCACCAAGGGCTGGGCAGGGCAGGGCAGGGCAGGGCAGGGCAGGGCAGGGCCAGAACCCCAAGAGCCGGATTTGGCCCATAGCTAAACATTAACTCTATGGCAAACACTGGGTGCTGGGACCAACTGGTACCCTTTCTCCAGGTTCAGCATGAAGGAGGGGGTGAGAGAGCCTAGTTGGGAGGAAATGGATTTGGGGTTCGGCATTGACTTCACCTAGGAAGAAACCAGTTAAGATCTACAAAGAAAATCCCGGTGCTCCAGCCAAACGCGGTGGGCAGAAGCCAGATGTGGGTAGGACGAGGAGACAAGGGAAAGGGAATGACTAAACATGAGGTGGGCATGGGTGCAGTGAGGGGTACCGAAGGGGTAGCATTGGGGGTAGGGGTCTCATCTGGAAAGGTTACACTGCCACCGGGAGAGTGAAGTTTAGAGTTGATTGCCATGGTGGTAGCAGTCAGGAAGATTCTTCCATGTCATGGGTAAAAATCATAGGTGGGAGACAGACGGGTGTAGGGGAAGAGGGCTGTCCTTGGAGGAAATACTAGACACTGGGTGTGTCATCACTGCTGCTCCAACACCTGCAAGACCACGCCTACAATGCTTCATCTTATTGTTCTCAGACTGATGCCAGGTAGGCTTGCCCTGTCATTCCCAGGATTGGCACCAGTCCTCTTTGCCTTCCTTAAAGTCAGCTTTCCTAGCAGGGGAAGGTGACAGGCAATGTGGATGCTATCTCTAGCAGCTCCCCTATTCTAGGTTCTGCCCCTGAATTGCTATGGAAACACTAACACCCCAGGAGTGAGACATAAGGCAGGAAGGTCTATCTGCCCACCTGGGTCTCAACAAAGACCCATACCTATAAGGGACCAGGAAGAGTCACATTTAAAAGGCAGATGGTACTCCTTCAAGTTTTATTCTGACCATCCTTATCTCTGCCTACAGTTCCAAAGCCCTGTCACCTGACCCCTTAAGCTCCTGACCACTGGGGCTACTACACCTTTGTACTCCCGGCCTGGGGCCCCTGTTGAATAAAATGAGCTTGTCAGCTGTGGGGGTAAAGGGCAAGAAGGGCCCCAGGATAGTTGCACAAGACAGGGTTTTTATACTCTACCCTGACCCCAATGTTCAACCTCAACAGTCCTGTCCCTATGTCGGTGGGGCCCGCTTCCCTTCTTGTGACTCAACTCTTCAGGTCAGGCTAATCTGTTATTTTGCAAACAGTTTCCCCGTAGCTAGTCATGGGACAAGGGGTTGCCTTTTTCCCTACAGACTGGTAGTGACGGTAGAAACTGGCTTCCTCTTAAATTACACCCAGGGACTTTGACCAGGTCTCAGGTCCTCCTACTCTGTAGAACCCTGACTCTAGCCTGGCCCCAGCGCATGGGGTTATAAAGCCTGCATCTATCTAAAGGGCTTTTAGTGCCAGGGATACAACCTGAGGTATCACAGCCAGTGAGCTGACTCTAGCAGTGGGGAAAAGAGATTAGAAAGAGGAACAGGACACCAGGCTCCTCTATGAAGGTCAGATTCCAGGCAGCCGCAGGCCAACAGCAATGGAGACGAAAGGTAGGTCTAAGGGAATGCAGGTCAAAACAAGGAGAGTAGACTTCGAGCCTCCCAAGGAGGGGGTAGTGCTGAGGGGAGGGGGGGGTCAATGGAGGTTTCCCTGATGATGCATCTGAACACAAAGGTATAAGACATAGCCACAGCACTCAGAGAAGGTACTTAACCAGCAAGAGCCCAGCAGGTAACCCTACCCAACAGGTGGCTCTCGGAGAACCCAGGTCACAGACTCCAGTCCCAGACAAAGGCGACTGGGCCAATGTCTAGGGTAAATGCACTGGCAGGGTCAGAGAGAACCCAAGGGAAACCACTGCCGTGTCAGACAGACAGCAACTGGCTGACGACACTAATAACTAGGCTCTGGGAAATGGGGAACCAGGGCAGGCATCTGTCTCAACAGAAAGGGTGGGAGGAGTTCATCCAACCAGCCTGCATGGGACTTGCCTCTCCACTACAGCGGTGACCGACCAATCTCCACAGGAGCTAACTGTTGCACAAGAGAAACCAGAGCCTATCAACTGTACTACCCTCATGCACACCTCTTAGCGCCTGCAGCTATGGCAATTGGAAACTATTTCCGGTTTCCCCGTGTTCATCTGACATTTCTATTTCCTCCTCCACTTCCATTCCTTTTTGCTTCCTTGAACCAAAGCCAAGTCTGGACTCTACTGCGCATATAGAGCAGGACCAGGAGGAGGGCAGGCGGCAGCCAGGGCAGGCAGAAAGGAATGTGTTGGTGGTCATCCCGGAGGACTTTCAAAGGTCTGTCAAGCTCAATGGCAGACAGACGTCCCTCTTTTGAATCCTCCAGCCCAGATGTCTGTGTGTCATCAAGCTGAGTGCGTGCTCAGGTGTCACAGCATCAGAATCAGGCTGAGGGAGCACGGAGATGAAAAGAAAGGGTTTTGGGAGCCTTAAAACCTGTAGCAACTAGGAAGGAACAGAAAGCTGGCTGGGTGACTGGAAACCAGACAACAGAGAAGAGCATGAAGAAGGAAAAAAAGAATGGTGGGGCCAGGGGAGGGCAGGGCAGAGAGCCAGGAGAACAGTCCAGGCGTAGACCAAACCAGAGCAGCCATGCTAAAAAAGTCTTGCGAGAAGAAAGCGGGTTGGGAGATCAACGTTCACAACAAAGACAGGATCTGCCTGCTCAGATTTGGATGTTTTAATTGCCCAATAGCAATGAGGCCATGTGGGTTTCTATTTCCCTTTGGTGACACTAATTCTGGCAATGCCACTTAAAAGGAGATTATTGGTAGGAGGGCACTTGGGTATTTAACAACAGTTGGGCCAGGACAGCTCCCAGAGAGGGAAGCGGGGCGGGGCGGTGGGGGTAGGGTGGGGAGGGCTCTCCTCTTTCCAAGATATGAACTGTTATCAGCCTGAGGAGGCCAAAGGCCAGAAGACCCTTGGTCTGAGACAGAGAGAAGGAACAGACAAGAGGAGGCAGAGTTTAGCTTCTCTTGCCTTCACTATCATCCTCAATGTCCTCACATCAACCCAGGCCACTTGGGGTGCTCCGTGGGGCTACGGATGGAAAATCAATAAAAACCTCTGGGATAGGCTGGCACAGAGCAGCCTGTGGGAAACCAGAGGGTTATCTGACATGTGTCTAACTTTAAAGGACTACTTAAAACCACGTTGGAACACACACGTGGCCCAGAGGGATGATTTGGACACACAGCCCCACACGAAACACAAGCGTTACCTCGAGTCCTTCCCCTGCTCCCACCAACCCTGTCAGTCCACCGTCCTGTTACCTTCTCCAAGCCTCAGCTCCGGTGGAGCAGAACTAGGTACAAGAGGAGGTAAGCATGGGGGGAGGGTGGGGGGAGTGGTATCCTCAGATCAGCTTAAAGAAGGGGAGACAAGGGTCTGAAGCCAGGTCACAGTGCACCTCAGCTGGCAAGTCCTCCTGAAGCTACAGAGCACATGGACAGGGCAAGCTGAGGGACTTTAGCCAAGGTGTCCTTCCAGGGAAGAGTCCGGGGCCACACAACCTAGTCTATGTGACGAGGAGAACAGAGCCTTTGTAGGGACTGCTGACTCCACAAAGTACTTTCAGAGTCCAGAGATGGATGAACGAACGGCCACTAAGGATGACCTAAGAAAGACCCCGCTTTACAGACCAGAAGGCAACCAAGCCTTCAATCGGAGCATGTTCTGGAGGACACTGCGTGTTTGCAACACGGACTATCATATAGGCACAGTCTCTTAGCTCTACCTCCTCCACAAGATGTCTTGCCTAGTGAGGCTAACTTTAACCCTAGGTTCATACCCAATGCCTCGCCATAGCCACATAATTCTGCCTGGCTTTTGAAACAGTCACTAGTTCCCGGCTGCTCCCCTGACTTCATACAGGACACTAGAGGAGGAAAAGAGATGGGGTGGGCCACCTCTTCATGTCCCCAGATCAAATCCTCCTCCCCAGGAGCTATCCGTCCTGCTGTAGAAGAGAACTACTGTGTCTGTTTGGGAGCGAGAAGAAGACGTTGACAAGGGCAGACACAAACTCCTAAGACACGAACGGTACTTAACAACACTTCTTGCAACCCTTGCCTCCCCCCACCCCCACCCCCACCCCCAAAACCCATTTTACTATTACCCAACAAGAAGAGAAACAGAAATACTTACATTGTACCAACTCTGGCTTTTCTGAAAAGACAAGAATCAAAGAGAATATAGTTAGTGAGGGAATCGACATTAGAAGTGTAGGAATCGACAGAGTATTCCTTCCCCCTGAGGTGAAGGTAACACAGACAGCGGAGGGTGGGCAGGGAGAAGGAACCCAAATGCAGCTGAATGCTTCCCATGTCGATGCTCAGGAGGGGTCCCCCTTTCACAAGACAGCTCTGGAAAGGAGGCCCGGGGAGCAGTCCATGCTGGAAGCCCCCACCACAGCTGGGGCCATTGGAGAGGCAGGCAGTGGCAGCACTAGCTAGCGCTCAACCAGAAGGGAGTCAGAGCCCCATCGCCAGGTCCTACTGATGGGGCGTGGGATGTGTGGTAGGCATCCAAAGTCTAGTCCCCGAGTGGGTTTTTGACTAGAAGCAAAGTAGACACAGAGTCCAACATAGCCTCCGGCTCCGGGTCATCTTCCCTGTCAGAGGCAGGGTAGACTATTTTGGTGAAGGGAGAAGAGGCTGTCTTAAAAAGTCATACTATACGCTCATGCTCAGCTAGCAAGTGAGTAAACTCCTCCTACCCCAACAACTGGCTGGCCTCCTAACAGCTAACAAATGGTTGGGGTTCTGCAGGGGAAGAGAGTGGAATTGTGCCATCTCTAAAGGCTTCTTCCAACCCATGGCATTATTATATAACTTGGTATTCATAAAACCATATTCTGTCGCAGCTCTACAGTTGGGGGATTCTCATTCTGGTCTCCCCACCATGGGATCTGAAACTTTCTAGTGAAAGAAAGGGAATGCCTAGACGGTCTCTTGTCTGTTTCCAACCGCTACTTAGGAACATTCTGCTCTGATGTTAGAAACTTTACCAACAGGTCAAAGCCTCGGCCAGATACCAGAGGTATGGAGCCTATACATACATAATCAGCAACTTAGAGCTTGTGTCAAACAGCCAGCGAATAAATGCAGAGTCGGGCAACCACTGTGTCAGCCAGTAAGGTAGGGGTGTGTGTGTGTGTGTGTGTGGCAGGGTGGCGGAGACTATGAACCAGAGATCTATGACTGTGACCATAATGATGGCCAGATGATCATGTGATTCCCCTTCCCATCACCAAGTTCTTTCTTTGAACCAGAAACCTGCATGACACCTTGACCCTCTACCATGACACAGTTAGCACAGTGGCCAGAGCTAGGGAGTAGAAGGGGCATAGGCATAAATATGCTTTCCCTTCACACAGATGTCACTGGCCAGCCGGCCAGGGTAGCATGTAGCAATGCAGACACTCAGTTCCCCTCTGCTAGGAGCTCTTTGTGGTCATTTCTCCAAAGGAATGGTGGTCTACTCTGGAAAGCACAGTCTTTTACCATAGTACCCTCCAGAAGCTGAAGGCCAAACCCACACAGCCAAGAGTGGGAGCTGCTACCTTGCAGGAAGGAATTCTGGACCTGAACATTCCCACCTAAGTAGTCCAGCTGAGGCTGTGCATGCCTGGAGAGGGTGGGTGGAGCAAGAAAGTTATATCCTGCTGGACCGTCATTTCTATAGATCTTTTTTGGGTGTTCAAAATGGCGACTGACTCTAGGAGCACACAGAATCAGTCTTGCAGCTACCAACCAAGCTATCCACAGTTAGCTTGGACTGTACTAACCCTGACCCAGCCTAGTCACCTGCTTCCCAGCTAAGGAAAACCTCTCTCAACTGCATCCAAGGACTTCACTCCTTGGAATTTTTGTACACAACCCTAGGAGGAGAGGGGGCGCTGGGAACAGGACCCTTTGTGATTCTCAAAACATGGTGCCTGCCCCTTCCCCTACACAGACAGAAGTAGATCTTCTCTTTCTATGTATTGACATGAAGATGCTAGTTCCTCAAGAAACTACTTGACACCAACAGCTTCAGAATCCTGAGAGCTTTCAGTTAAGAGCGTCTGTCCCATCTCTTGACGAGCTCTGTGGTAGCTTTATGGCCAATACTCATTATCTAAAGTGGGGAATCTAAGAAAGGATCTCTTAAGATCTAAAAGAAATGAGAAAGGTACCCTCTAGAGTGAGAACTTTGGAGGCTCTCCCCCTGGCCATATTCCTACACAACTCCTTCTTTACCAGCACCAAGGCTGCCTCAGGGACAGGTGCATTTACATCTCTAGTGATATCTATGTTAGCCCTCAAGACTGACCAGCAGGTAGGGAGTTCCTAACCTTTGACCTGCCTCCTGGAGAAGAATTACATCCCTGTGGTTTCTGGGCTACAGTGCTAAAGGGACCTCCTGTGAAGGAGGGTCTCAGAGAGGTCTTAAGGCCCAGGTGGGGGACACAGGCACAGATAGACAGGACAGAGACTGTCTACCATTGTAAATTCACTGCTATGCCCCTACCTGGAGTACAGGGCTAGAGCTCAAGGAGGCACAGAACTCATGTTGGGTTCTAAGAGCCTGTATCAGATGGTTACTGGGGGGTGGGGAGGGGGAAGAAAATGAGAACACAACACGGAGCTGCTGGAGGCAGGATGGAGCTGGAGGAAGAGGGCCTGGTTTTGGGTTTCTTTGGTCTTTTCTACAAGGAATCAGACAAGCAAGGACCAGATGGAACGAAAGGCTCCTAGAAACATATCCAGACTACCTTATAGCCGTTTCCTGCCCTCCAAAGCATCTTCTCGAACAAAGGCTCAAGTTGTCTGGAAGGTGAGCTGAGGTGGGGGAAGGAAGGGGTGAAGGGAGACGGGGCCGGGGCTGGGAGCTCTACGTTAAGCGTAAACTGGAGCCAGGAGGCAAAACAAAACAAAACAACAACAAAAAATGTCTTACTTTGATCAGATTAAGTCTGTCATACTGAAAAGAAAACCACAAAAATTAGAATCCAAACAAACAAAAAGGTGAAAGGTCCCAGGAGCACCAGTGTCACAGCACCGGGCACTACCAAGCACCAACAGAGAGCTAAGCTGCGGAGGCGGAAGCCAAGTATCCAGTGACCCTATCTACTTGGCAGGCCTGCAAGGGCAGAGAGCCACTCTCCAGAGCTGGTAGGGGCAGGGAAGCAGGTCCTGGCTCCCTCTAGTGGCCATAGGTCATCACTACTGAGTGCAGCTTGACTGTGGTCCAAACGCAGAGGTTTCTGGGAGCGATAATCAGCCCTGAGGTCCTGTAGCTCCCAACTCTTTAAGCAAAAGAAAGAAATCAGCCCCAGCCACCGAGATTACGATGGGGAAGGTGAAGCTTTAATCATTTCCCGTCCCTAACAAATGAAGAAATGGAGGCCGGAAAGGGGGGATCTAAGAAACACTGAAGAGGAGACATCTTACAGCCTGCTTGAAAACCACACAGGGTGGCCTCTTTGCAGGCAGTGGTCAGCGATGGTCTAGCTATAGTTGTTATGAGAACAGATCTAGCACACAGACCCTCCACACAGCTATATCTGGCCTCCTTGGAAGTACGCTCCCGGGGGAAGCAGCTTTAAGCTTTGGCCTCACCCTCGCAGCACCTTCTCACAGACCGGTAACTGGGCCCTGCATTAAACTCTTTTCCCATGGTGACTCTGGTGTTGCTCTTTGGCAGTCTGTGTGTCTTACACACGTGCGCTGCAGGCTGACCGCGGCCGCTCCCCAGTGCAGTTGGGTGATGTGGTCGTCCCTCATCCGCTGTCAGTAAGCAGCACTGTGCTGCTCCCTGAATGAGCTAGGCTTGGAGGAAAGAGCGGCACACTTCACCTTAGGACTAGAAAGACTCGGCAGATGTGGAGAGGAGGGATAATCTGGTACCCACCCACATCCGGCTGGGTTCTCCCTCTTCCAGATGAGCCCGGAGCCCTCTGGTACACACTTCAACTAAGGCAGAGGGGGTGAGCCCTGGCGTAGTGACCAAAGGTCTTATACAACTCCTATCCCTAGATATCAGGCATGCCTGAACCTGCCCAGCCTCCTACGCCCACAGAGGACTCCTGCTGGTATCCTCACTCCAGGCTCTCTGCTGGCAATAGGCACTTAAAATCCCGAGAGCCACGTGATACGCTTTGTGTCTGAAGGGCACAGTGGGCAGGCTCAGCTGTGGAGTTTCATGTTCTTCCATCGGAAGTGAACAGTGGTGTGCCGTCCTCCCTGAGGACACTTAGAGATCCTGTCGTAAGTCGTCTCTCCGCTTGACTTGGCACTTCTTCCCCACAATCGATTTCCTGGGCCCCTACTGCCTTGCTACCAACTGTTCACCATCTATTCACTCCAAACTTCACCTCAGAGATCCTAGGGCCCTAGTTAGAGGCTGGCCCATCTCCCTCCCACACCCATAGACCTAGAACCTGGTGGGTACTGTCAGAGTCATCAGAACCTCCGGGTTCTGGTACTGTAACCTCTTTAATCAAAACCCGAGGTCTCTAAGGACACCTTGAATGGCTACCAGAGTGGGACAAGCAAGTCGCGGGGGGGGGGGGTGACCTGCCAAGTAGCTCTCGAGGGTGGAGGGAAAGATGAACCAGGCAGATCTCAAGGTCTTTCCTCACTCTGCCAGGGAAGCCACCGTTATCCCATCCAAGGGTCGCACGAAACAACAGTGTGACTGAGTGGAGGCTCCACACCCATGGGAACTGAACTACCCCCTGCGGGACTCTTGCTTTTGGAAAGTGCCACGCAAGGAGGGAAACACATTCCCACTAGAGGTGGTGTTTGAGAAGCAGGCAGACACGGGGAAGGGGGTGGGGTGGGGGGCGGAGTCTGTTCTCTGACATCAGGTGCAGTAGGAGTGGTCCCTCAGTGACTTCCAAGCCAGCCTGCCATGGGGTGGGGGGTAGGGGTGGGGAACAGTGGGTTCAGCCCTTCTGGGAAAGGGACCAAGCAGGACATATGGGCAGTACTGGCAGGGGTGGAGGGAGGGGTGCTGAGCACTACAGACAATTCAGTGCTAGAGGGGAAGATTAAAAGACAGAGACAAAAGATGGCTTACTTTTGAGAGGCGCTTGTGAGACTAAGACCATGCATGCAGAGAAGGTGTTTGGGAAAACAGTGGGGAGAAGAGGAAGAACAAGAAATCAAAAAGACAAATTCAAGTGGGGTTTCTCCCAAGCCTCCCGGGGGTTGGGGGTCACGGGTCCCCTTTCTGAAGCCCTGCGAGTCCTGCTGGTTTAGGAGTACCTGAGTAGAGGTGCCCCTTGATTGCCAGAGGCCTGGGGATGGAAGGAGAACTCTGGGGAGCCGTAACCGGGGTAACCAGGTGAGGGCCTCTGTGCTAATCCTTGGACCAGGAGCCTGAGTGCTCGCAGTGAGGATGAGCTTGAGGGATGGAAAGGCCCTAGGACTATGCTCTCTGCAAGATGAGCAGGACATGGGTCAGGACAAAGGTAAGGCGGGGTGATGGACAAGGAGGAGGTTAAAAATAGCCCTCAGGAAGGTTCCCTGAAATCTCTCTTCCTGGCAATACAGTTGTCCCAAATAACGTTCCTTTGATAGTTCAAAGGACCAAATTTAACGAAGAATTATAAAGATGGCTCCTCCTGATCCCCAGAGCTTCCTCCATATCTCAGGGGTCCTGAAGTTCCTTAGATACTTAGAGAGAGATGGGGAGTGGGGTAGGGAAGGGGCATATGACTCAGGACCCTCCCTGGATGATTAAACAGGAATCTATTCAACAAGTGTCTCCCCTGCTGACCCTGACCTGTCCTTATCACATAGTTATGGGGCTGTTCAGTCACCTGAGTGCTCACTAGCTTCCTGTGGCTAGCTGACAAGGGGTAACAAGTCTCCAGCATGGTCTGCTCACCTTGGAATTTTTACCACCGCTCCGACCGGATTGTGAGGAGCAACTGCGCTGCACGCCCTGCTCCGGGGTGGATGGGGACTTGTCCGAGGAGTGATCCGAGCCCTTCTCCACCATGGTGTCTCCGTCCTGGTTCTGTGGTGTTGGTGAGCGGGACCGCTTCCGGAGGATGGGAGAGCAGGCCGGCGTGCTGCGGTTGGAGTTACTGGCAGTGCTGCAGGGGCAGATGGAGACAGGGAATGAGGTGGAGAGGAAAGAGGAAGGAAGGAAGGAAGGCCGTGAGTGACGGTCGGCCAGAGACCCATGCAAAGGAGCCAGCTCAGGGAGCCCAGGCAACAGGCTAAGGAGACAACTCAGCTAGGGACTTGCTGTACTGTAATGCTGACACTGGCCAGCAGGGGGCAGTAGTGCCAGTGTGAAAAGGAGAACTAGGACTAGAAACAAGCAGTTAAGTATTTAAATATTCACCCATCCATCCATGAATCTACCCACCCAATCCTGTTTGAGCTTTAACTCTATGCAGAAAGCTATTAGGGAAGATAATTTAGACCCTGAAAGAATCCCTCCATACCAGCAGCTCATTTTATGCACTACGCTATGTTCCAACACTTGCTCATAACGACAACCCCGCTTTCCAAAGGTATGTCTTTTACAAATTATCACGTTATTTTATTTTGCATAGATGTGGGCAGGTACGCGTATGCCATGGGCGTGCCTGTGGAGGTCAGAGGGCAACTTGTCAGCGTCTCTGTTTCCAACCTTCCACAGTGAGTCCTTCGGAATGGACTCAGGCCACTGGCTCAGCAGAGAGTACTTTTATCTACTGAGCCATCTCACAGGCACCATAATGAGTGTTAGGACATTCAATTGAATTAATAACGGCAAGGGCCACTGTCCTTCAGTTAAAGATAAATGCCTGGTAGAGAGAAGAAAGTGACCCAGGGCAAGCCTCAGAGTTTGCTTCAGACGTAAGTCTCTCATGCTAGTCTGGGAAGTTACGTTGCTGTTCCACTCAAAGTGAAGGCTTAGTCTCATACCCCCTACCCCCAGATTCACCTCGAAAAAGTTCCTTGTACTTCCCACGGCGCTAAATCCAGTTATACCTAGGCATTCAATCTGTTAATACAGTAAAGATGGAAACTTAGCTTGTGTTTTCCATAGGATAGAAGAGGTGAGGAGGAAAGGGCGGAGAGGAAAGATTGAACTCACTTTGTTCTGTTTTCAGAGAACAGAGAAAAGAAAGAGCTGGCGGAGGCGGGGGGGGGATACTCAGAAGGAAGGCAGGGGAAACGGGAATGGATAGCCTGGGAGATCACACGGGCCCCAGAGCAAGGTGATAGGAGGGGCAGGCCAGACTAACCCAGGAAACTCTCTGGCAAACCGCATCCTGACCTGGCCTCAGGATGCAGAAGGCAGGGCACAGAACAGTGATATTTGCATGAAGATCTAGCTGTAACCTCAGATGCTCTATGGAGATGTTTGTAAAGATTTCCATGCCCTACCACCTGGATGAACTCAATACAGAGGACAAAGTGTCCACAAGCCCATCCAGTATCACTGGGGAGGGGGAGGAGGGAGGGGAGGACCTGTATGGAATGGAGCTCCACATGTGACCTCTATTACTTATCCATGCACATGCCACACTGCACATGTCGGGGATGAGAGGACAACTTTAGCGAGTTAGTTCTCTCCTTCTACCATGTGGGTCCCGGGGATCGAACTTGGGTCTTCAAGCTTGGAGGCAAACATTTTTGCCCACCGAGTTATCTCTTTGCTCCACTGGATCATTCTCACGTTGTCCAAACTAGAATTCAGCTCTTCTGCGATGTGTTCTCTACCTCCATGCCCACTCTTGCTTCTCTAACTTCCGTCTGGTACTGAGTGAGTCCCCTCTGCCACCAGCCCTGCTCACACAGACCTCTGCCTCTTCCTTGCCCCTTCTCCAGAGGCACTGTCATTGCTCAGAAGTGGCATCTCTCCCATTCCACCCCACTCTGTCCTACTCAGTTTGTTTCCAGAAGGTTCATTAGTCTATCCTTCCCTTCCTGTCCTAGGGTCCTCCCTTCCTCAGGTTCTCAAGGTGTCTTGCCTGGACTTGTCCAATAGCCTTAGCTATAATTTCAGTGGAAAAAAGAAAATAAACCAACCACCCAGAATAATAGGAGGTCATTGACCCCATCTGCTTGGCTTACACTCCAATCCTCTTCTATATAAGAAAAATTCCCTGTAACCATAGTTCTGCATCCTGGCAGAGTCATTACTAGCCTTGCTACATTGCTAAAACTATTAAAAGAGCAGCCATCGTCCTGTAGAGTTGGGACAAGCAAATAAAACCAGTTCCTATGCCTCTTGTGTAGGGACTTACCTTTCTAACTCTATCCCATGCCCTTAACCTGATCCTACAAGCAATATAAAGAACTGTTGTTACATTTGGGGATAGAGCACTGTAGGGGGGAAGACCAATCAGTTAACAGACAAGACCTCTGACCTGAATTCGGGAAGAGTCCTGTAACCTTTGGCCTGTGAGAAATTGGAGCAACAGAAGGGTCTAGCCAAGGTGATAGGACTGTGTTTGTGGCCACATGGTACAATGTCAAACATCCAAGTTCACATAGGTGACTAAGAAGAGATCCTGTGTTCAGTACATTTATCATGAGGCAGAGCTAGACGTGACCTCTCATTGGAATATAAGCCACAGGTAGACAGGTGGTGTGATCTAAGAAAGCAGGGGAAGGGGGAAAAGGGAGAGAGGAGAACAAAGAACAAA